ATGGTGGCGTGTGGTGGGGTGGGACTGCACCGTGTGAAGCGATGTTCTGAGGATGGTGGCGTGTGGTGGGGTGGGACTGCACATCATGAAGTGATGTTCTCAGGATGGTGGCGTGTGGTGCTGTAGGGAAGGCTTGACTTTCAGGTCTGGTTCCCACAGAGCAGATTCAGGTCTCAAAGATTGCACAGAGGCAGTGACAGTGAGTTCCTAGATCACTTAGGGAAACCCTGAGAGGAGCCCTCGGTCTACACTAGGGATCTGGGCCCATCTTACTTGGACCGCAGGAATTGTGAGGCCCCAGGAGACACAGTTCAAAAACAGAAGAGCATTTAAAGTGTTTCTGCCTGTACAGGCAGCTTTGCCAGACCTTGCTGAGAGCGTTTGGACAAATGACGACACCACGTGTTCCCTTCCTGGGCAAGACACTAGGCTGGCGGAGGGGAGTTCCAACATCTCCCGGGGACACTGTGTTTCTTTAGGCAAGATCTGTCCCTAAAGGCTGTTTCTCTGTTAAGGCAAAGCCCTGGGAACTTCGAAAGCCAAATGAGGAAGGCCAAGGTGGCAGGCGGGCTGCTGGTGGGGAGCAGCCGCCCTCCGTCATTGCTTCCGAGGCGCCCAAGGCACTGGGGACACATCTAACCTAACTAGGCGAGTTGTGGGAATCCAGCCTGTTTCATCCTGGTCTGCCCTGGGGGGACACTGCTCTTTGATGGGGACTTGAGGATGGTTGAAGAGATGGATAACTTAGAAGCTGGGCTAAAGAAGGGGTCAGCATCTGTTCTGGCTGGATAGGATAAATCTAGTCCTCTGTTATAAATTATTTTGCCTCCTGGCAATCCACTACCTTTTCTCCAGAGCCCCTAAAACTAAAAATTTAAAGGAATAAATCTTTAGGGCCTTCTGGATCTCCCTGGAGAGTGCTATGTTTCAAAATGAGTGGATGCATTTCCAAAGTTGGAAACAATTTAGCAAAAATCAGAGCTGCAGAGGGCGATGGAGGAGACGTGTGGAGCTGCCCTGCTGCCCTGCTGCCCTGGGGCTCTGCTGCTCTGCATCCGCAGCCCTGGCAGGGAGGCACAGCAGCAGACTTGAATGTTTGGAACAGAAGGGGCCCCTGGAGGATCCAGCCTCCCATGTGGCACTTGAGGACTCCCAGCGAGGCCCAGCCCAGGTGCCCAGGTCTGCCTGACACTTGCTCACGCTCCGTACACTGCTCCTGTCCACTGCCAGGAAAACATTTTGTGCTTAGGACAAACTCAGGTTTCAGATGGCCTGTTATGCCCAATAAAATTGTACCAGACTTTATCACCCTGACCTCAATTAGTTAATTCCCTCAGCCAATACACACAGGTATCAACACCAAACTAAGCTGAAATTGTACTTAGAGCCAAAAATAAACCACCCGAGCTCCTGTTCCATCCTGAAGCTTTGCACTCATTGAAACCCACTGAAAAGAGCACTGTGACATTTTTTCCTCTGGTCACTGGATATTATCTATCACCATGACAGATTTATCAGATGGTTTTCTCAGGAACATGCAAAACTCTCCTATACATTTCTCAGCCATTGACCTTCTCCTACAATTGGCGGTGACCTTCGGAGGCCTGGGCATCTAGGGACCTTGTCTCCTCTATTAGAATTTCACGTAACTAGAGAAACTCCTAAGTTATTATAGAACAGTGGGCTGGGACCACAGGCTCCCTCTCAGCCCAGCCACCTAAGTCTCCATTCATTTCATGAAAAATCACCCCTGTCCTGTAGTCTGCACAACTGATTTGGGAAAAAACCCATTGCTCCTGCCCAAGACTGGTGAGTGATGGAAGCTGCAGACGGAGCCATTAGAGGAAGGGCTGGGAAGGGTCTCTTCCTAATGATCTGCCTCATTCGGGCTGCAGCAACTGTGCAATGACATTTTCTATCAAGGTCAGCTTTGTCCAAATACCAGGCAAGGTGTACAGGCTGTGTATTTGTCCCCAAAACAGGGAGGTTAAACACCACGTGCAGCCATGGTCAGAGTGTTTTAATTCACACATTCGTTTCTGCCTCAACTCAGGCCCCACCACTGGCTGTTTTCTCAACTGCCTCATCCCAGAAGACGGGGCATGCCGTGGTGGTGGGGTCCCAGGGAGGGAGAGAATTTGAGGGAAGCCCCCTGTGGAAGATGCCGGCCGGCCTTTGGGCCCTTCCACAGAGAACTGGTTCCTCTGTCAGGCACCCTAGGAGCCCTTCCTGCGTCACAGAAGGCGGGAACCCTGCAGTCTCCTGCACGACCAACAACCGCCCCAGGCCCCTTTGCTGTTTCTGGAACACCTTGACTATCTCTGCACTCCAGGGCACTGCAATAAGCTAACACAGTATCTCTGTTTACAAAACTAAACCCACAGGGAGGGAAGAGACTTGCCTACAGGCGCTTACAGGGCACAGTTAATAGGGATGAAGTTACCTCTAGTCTCTCCAGAGCTGAGACTAGAATGTGGGTTTCCATGAGCTTCCCATAGGGCAGGGAAGAGAGGACAGGAGAGTGGGGAGCACAGCGCTTCCTGCTCCTCCTAGAAGCCACCGTGCTGCCTGCTGACAGTTCCGAGAGCACACACGTGGCCTATTTTTGCCTCTTTCTTCCAAATTCCAACACCAGCAACCATGCTTCTCATGCCTGAGATGTGTATCTGGGGAGAGTGGCTTGTGCTAAGTGGGATTTGGCCGTGTCCGGGCGCTGGGTGTCATTGGCCACTGTTATCAGCCACCCTGGGTCATGGCCATCTTAACTCCTCAGACTGCAGATGGGGACCAGGGTGACTTCCTCAGATGCAGCTTGGGCCTGGACTCTCTATTTAGTCCCTTTATTTTACTTTTAAAGTTTAACCCCAGTGCTGTGGTGCTGTGGACCTGGGCTCGCTGGCCTTCTCAGCTTGTCCCCATTGGCCATCTCTTCCTCCCTCTCACCTGCCCCGGCTGTTCCCCCAGCCCGGGATGAGTCCTGCTGTTCCCTTCAGATCCTTCTTCCTCGCACAGAGAAGTGCAAAAGCCCAATCTAAAAAGCTTCCTCCTGTAAGCTATTCTACTATTCTTGAGTCACGGTGGTTGGCATTTTAAGAGTGCCACATAAGAAGAGATTCCACAGAATACTCTAAGGAAATAATTGCATACAGCCCTTTGTTTCTCAACTGCTTTAATCCTTCTCTGATACGGCCACCATAATTAAATGCAATATTCTGGATGTCGAACTAAAATTCACAGCTTTGATAAATATTAGGCGATTAAGCTATTTATAAAATATATAATTTGAAAATCTGGCATTTCACGTGCTGTGATTATTTCTTCTCTGTGAAGACTAAGCATTTAGCCATGTGGAAGGCACTGCCAGGAGGGGAAATTAACAAGGATGTTCAGTTGTGGGTTTCAACTGCTTCCACGTTCCTACGAGCTGAGACAAAGTCTCCTTGTGAAAGAGCAGAGTAAGAGAAGGATAAGCAAGAAAAGGAGGCAGGAAGGAAGTGCTGGAAGCAATGATTAGATGCTGGTTTGCAAATGCATCTCTCCCTCTGTGAATCACTTTCAGTGCAAAGCTGGGGCTGAGAGGCAGGGAGGGGCGCCCTACCAGGAGGTCCACCATGTTGGGCTTGTTGTTCCTCAGTGTCTTCACGGCATGGAACACGTCCACAGTCCTCTGGTGCCGGAGCATCTCACACACGATGCTGATGGCACAGAACGTCCCACTGCGGCCTCCTCCGTTCCTGTCATGAGAGAAACGAGAAGGTTGAGCCGCCCTCCCACCGTATCTCACACTTGCCATTGAACCCTGGTGAACTGGTAACATGAAGGGCTCTGAGGCCGGGTGCACCCCACCTGTGCTGACCCTTCCCATGACAGCAAGTGTGGCATGTCGGGGGCTGTGTGTGGCCCACGAGGCACCTGACTTGAGATCCTGTCCCTGCTTCACCTCAGCCCTAGATTATGTCACTGGATGTAGAACCTCATAGATGTTCTCTGCCCACAGCAGAGAATTCTCCATGAAAACACAGCTCACCTAGGGTCTGCCGGGAAAACTGGTGTGAAGAACGTGGGTCATGTTCTAAGGCACACATGGCCTTTTAAAAATTCTATTAGTATTTCATTATTCTCCTCTGAAACATAAAGGTTCTTTTAAAGTAAAACTTTTTATTTTGAACTCATTCTGGAAATGCAGAAATGTTGCAAAAATAGCCATAGAGCTTCCTTGTACAGCCACTTTCCCTGTGTGAACGCTTCATGTAGCCACAGCACAGGAAAGCAAAGCTTGGACAATCTATCATCTCAACTGTCCGCCTTAGCCAGATCTCACCAGTTTCTCCACTAACGTCCTTTTTCTGGCCTAGGCCATGGTCCAAGGTCCCACCCTGCCTTGGTTGGCCCATTGCCCTACTCTCCTCCAACCTGCAGCAGTTCCTCAGTCCTTCCTTGTCCTTCTTGAAATGCACCGGTCAGTCACTTTACAGAATCTAACACACAGATGGCGGAATGCAGAGGCAGGCAGTAGCCATGGTCCCAGCCACAATTTGAGAAGTCATGACATATAAAAGTAGACTCTCCTTTCATTTGGGAGATTGTGTGATGTTTTCTCATGATTAGAAACAACGTCAGACATTTTAGCAAGAAAACCACAGAAGGGGTTCATGTGCCCATCTGTCTTATTCCTGGTGAAGTCAGCCCTGCTCACTGGTGAAGATGGTGTCTGCTAGATTCTCTTGCTGTAGAGCTACTATCTTTTTCATTGTAGTTAATAAATATCTTGGGGGAAGATACTTTGGGACTATGCAAATATCTTGTTCCTCCTCAACTTTTGCCCACTGATGTTAGCAGCTGTTGGTGGATCTTGTCTGCAACAATTACTAATCCCTGTGGGTGTTTGTGTCCTTCTGAGTCGCCGTTTTTCACTCTCCTTCCACATGCCATGGTAAGAAAGAGCTATCTCCCCACCCCCATTAAATGATTTGCTTATTTAACTTATTGTTTATTTATATCAGTGTGAACCTATACAGTTTAATTTTATTCTGGGAGTTAAATTCAAAGGTATCAGTATTTATTTTGTTGTTCAAATTGTTCCAGCTTTGGCCGTTAGGATTTCTGTCACAGAAATGTTCCCGTGTTCTTTTCTGACAAACCTATATCCCTCTCTGAGCGTTTCCCTACCACCTCCTAGCACCACACGATATTCCAGGCTCATCCTGTATTTTTCATGCACCAGCTCTGCAGTCACCCTCTTCTCCAGGGAAATAACTGACCTTTCAATTTCATTTTTTAAAGTAAGCACACTATCACATGTAAAATAAACATTATTCTTTTAATATTATCAAATGTTTAGTCATTGTTCCAATTTCTCAGATTATTTCTTACAGTTTTTTTTAAAATAAAAAATCCACACATAAGCAAAGTCCACATATTGCATTTGGTTGGTAAGTCTTACAAATTTATTTTAATCTATAAGTTCGTCTTTGCTCGATCTTTTTTTCTTGGGAATTTATTGAGGAAATAGGGTCATCTGTCTCAGAGAGAGTCCAAAGTCTAGATTTGTCTAATTCACTGCAACTCTGTGGCAGCAGCTAACATGCTGCTCTCTGCCCCGTATTTTCTGTAGTTAGATTCAGGGCTGGATAAGAGTCTAGAACTTATTTCCTCATTTAGACCAGGATACCTTATGATTGTACTTTCATTAGAAAGTAAGCACAAGATATCTGTCTGTCCCTTGTTTTGTGATATTGGTAACTCTGTTTGGATGTCAGCTTGATCAGTCCATTATATAGTTCCAGATCAGCTTTTTAAATAAAGTCCATGACTAGTAAGTAGATATCTTAGTTAATTTCTACAAGTGCATACAGCTTGGAACCACTATGTAGAGGCAGCTGATACTGGATTTAATGTGTAGTTTCCTAAAAACAAATGTTGAATATGTTTTTGATGCTTATTGTTTTTTTTTTTGATAAAAACATAAAGTACCCATCAAGTGTTTTTCCTATTTAAAAACTGGGCTGTCTGTCTTTCCTGTGGACTTGCAGTACTTCTTAGACATTTTGGCTGAGTCCTTTGTTAGGCAGGCGTATCGCAGAACTCTCTTCCTGCTGCCTTGTTTTTTCATTCTCATGGACATCATTTGATGAACAGAAGGGCTTAATTTGAATTAAATCCAATTTATTAATATTTTCCTTTATGGCTAGTGTTAGGTGTCCTCGAGGTCATGAAGATTTTCTCCTATGCTTGCTTCTAGAAGCTTGGTTGTTTTGCTTTTCACCTTTTGGGTTTTGACCCATCTGGAAAAATTCCTGCCTGCCATGTGTCCAGACAGGCTTCCCCGCTGCCCTGAGTCAAGTTGCAGGCAGATCCGTGTTGTAAATCAGGCGGTGCTGAGGTGTACACCTCTGTTCCTGTGTTCTGTTCTAGGACTAGCATTAGTTTACTTTCCCCATCAGCTTTTCATCTCACACTTTCAGCAGCTGCTGCTGACCAGTGTCTAATTCATTATTTCCATAAACAGTTGCAAAATGGAGACATCTTAATTCTACCCACTGATTCTGGTTTTATTAGCTGGAAGATGCGTACAAAGAATAAGACTCCCTTTTCGCGTACCTGGGGCGCTCAAGGAAACCTTCAACTAACAGCACCTGCAGGTCTGGGTCTCGGGTAGGAGTCTGCCCGCAGCCACTAGGTGGCGCTACGCTACGCCGAATCCCATGCTCTTGCTGCAGAGAGGACCATGACAGGGGTTTCAAGGCATCCTTTCCTGGCCAGTACTAGGGGACGTTAATTTAAACGATTTTATTTCTTACAGATAAAGAAAACTTAGATTTATATTTATGAATGTAAATAAAAACAAACATGCCCACCAGGCCTCGGTCTCCCACTGCCCTGGTGCCGAGAGCGTTGAGGGTCTGCCCCAAGGAAACCACTGGGCTTTCACGTCGGGGAAAACGGCTTCCAAGGAAAAGTCAAGTTCAGCTCCGCGCCCTTAGCTCAGTGGGTAAGGAGCCGGCCACATATGCCAGGGCTGGCAGGTTCGAACTGGCCCGGGCCTGCTAAACAACAAGACAACTACAACAACAACAAAAAAAACAGCTGGGCATTGTGGAGGGCGCCTGTAGTCCCAGATACTTGGGCGGCTGAGACAAGAGAATCGCTTAAGCCCAAAAGTTAGAGGTTGCTGTGAGCTGTGACACCACAGCACTCTACCCAAGATGACATAGTGAGACTCTGCCTCAGAAACAAACAAACAAAATCAAGTTCTCTCGTCAGAGAGACGGGGAGATGCTGCACAGACAGGCGAGAGGGCAGAAACAACTCCGACTACGGCTACCGGACAGCCGGCTGCTGCAGCGGTCACGGGGAAGGGGCGCAATTGTTTAGAGTCACAGCTGTCTCCTGGAAGAGTGTTGTCTAAGGAGGGTAGCGACTGGGGGCCTTTGTGTCTGTCCCTCAGGCCGGTCCTGTAGCCTCAGCTTCCTCTAGTCACTAGTAACTCTGCCCTGTGGGTTAAAGCATTGGCCCTGTTAGAATGCTGCTAACCCAGGGAGTAGGCTGGGCTAGGGGTCTTGGTGCTGGTGCGTGGTTATGGTCTGCCGATGTTGGTGGGGTTTTACCTGTGAATTAATTTTTTACTATTTTAGAAAAACATGGTAGATCTAATACCAATGAACTAAAATGTCAATTTTCTGTGCTGGGATTGTATCTCAGAGTGGGGAATCGCTTATCCTATTCTGATCACAGGTCATATCTGGCTTTGAGAAATAGATGTGGGGATGTGAATTGTTAATTCTTTTTGCCACTTTCTTAGTAGAGATGTTTTTACAGTGCTGAGTCCATGAGAAGGAAGAGGGAGGTACTAAGTGGAGAAAGGCTGGGTTAATAAAATGCTTTTCAGAGGACAAAGTATTGGGACTTCCAGTTGAAGACAACTGTGAGTAGATTCCTAAACTTCTTCCAAAGGAACAGCAGTTTCCTGCAGATGAGACACTGCCATTTTTGATTAGCAGAGAAGCAGGGCAGAGGTGAGGACTTCTGGGAGGCTTTGCAGGCCCTGGATAGGGGTGGCGTTGCACAAGATCTGGGCTCTTAGTGAAGAGCACCCGTGTCTTTAGCTAAGTTGGCCACTTCAACTAGGGTTCATCTGCTCAGGATAAAACTTTACATTTCCTTCAACTCGGGAGAGATCTCCCTATGTGCTTCTAATGACACTCCACACTCACATGCTTATACTTTAAATTTCCACAAATTCTCTAACCATCTTCCTTAACTGCCATGACTTTTTTTTTTTTTTTTAGACAGAGCCTCAAGCTGTCCCCCTGGGCAGAGTGCCATGGCATTACAGCTCATAGTAACCTCCAACTCCTGGGCTCAAGCGAGTCTCCTGCCTCCGCCTCCCAAGTAGCTGGGACCACAGGCACCCGCCACAACGCCCGGCTATTTTTTGGTTGCAGCCGTCATTGTTGTTTGGCAGGTCCAGGCTGGGGATTCGAACCCGCCACCTTAGGTGTACGTGGCTGGCGCCTTAGCCGGTTTAGCTATAGGCGCCGAGCCAACTGCCATGACTTTTTAATTGTCTGTTCCTTTAAGCCAATTCCAGCTGGTTGGTTAGTTACGTATCATTGCCAAGGAGCAAATGCAGGTGGAAGTGCTTTGGAAAGCATGGCATCCTCCGCTCGGTGGCTCTCAACTTTACTGTCTCAATACACTGAAATTGTCTGGGTCCCCAGTGAGTTTCAACTGGTGTGCTGCAAAAATTTTTACAGATTATTAATTATTTTCAAAAGAAGTTCAAAGCACAGTAAGTATATTCTTTTTGTTGCATTTTGATCAACATAATTTAAGTGTGCTGCTGAAGTTTAACTACAGGTTCAAGTGTGCTGTGAGATAAAAAAGGTTGAAAAACACTGCTCTAAGAGTTTAAAAAAATCCACATCTGCATCCCACTCCCAGAGATTTTGATTTAATGGGTTTGGGTGTGGCCTGGGTGATTTTTGTTTGCGTGTTTGAGGTTATTTTGTAGCTCTTTAAACAACTGTCAGTGTACAGGTAGGGTGGGTGCCATCTATACGCTCACATTTCAGCATCTGCTGAACCGCAGGCCTAGACATCACACTCTGGAGACACTGGCTCTAACTGAAGCCTCCCAATATAGACCCTCCCTAGCAAAAATCTCTCTTAAAATCCACAAAGAAAAAAAAAAAGAAACTGTTCCCCTGAAGCCTCTGACATGATTTCCAATAGAATAATCACGTGATGTGACTGCTACACAGCTCTGGCTGGCGGGGAGGGAGCCCTAATTTTCAGTATTTGCTGGTTTTTGAGGTATCTACCTCTACTGTGGATGACCTTAGGTTACTGACAGTTTAACAACAGCTCAGAAAATTCCTGAAAACTCTCAAGAGCCACTGGGAGCCCCCTGAACCCACCCTGGTTTATTTCTTTGTTGTTGTTTTTCAGGACAGGTGTCCCAATCACAGGGTTGATGCTAATTTCTACAGCAATGACATGCCAAATATACACATCTCATTGCCTAAAAAGCCACCTGAACCCTGAGTGTACTGACGCTCCCTTTACCCAGATCTGCTTATTTCCTCCCCATTCATGGTGAAACAAAAGACAGAGGAACAGGAGGCAGAAGCGACTGGGCCTGGTGGCTCTGAGCCGAGTGCTCTCTCTGGCCAGCACTTACAAGCAGTGCACCACGGTGCGGCCTTCACCACCGTTGTATTCCTCCTGCCACTTGTCCACTTGGCGAATTAGCTTCAGGAAGGAGCGCTTCGACACTGGTGTGTCCCTGTACATCGGCCAGCCCAGGAACTGGAATTGCTGCACCATCCGATATCCATCTTGGGGCTACAGAGAATCAGGCCAACAATGAGAGTATGGAAAGAGACAGGCAGGATTCACTAGTGAATTCCAGGGGCTGATTCCACCTAGTTGATCTTCACATTTTTAAAGGAGAGTCCTGTCTACCAACAACAAAGGTAGCTTCTACTTGCCTGAAGAGTTAAGATTTCTAATCTTGGACTGCTATAAAAAAACAGGTGTTTTCAATGACAGGCCATTGGCCTGTAATCCTAGCACTCTGGGAGCCAAGGTGGGAGGTTCGCTTGAGCTCAGAAATTCAAGACCAGCCTGAGGAAGAGCAAGAGTAAGACTCCATCTCTACTAACAATAGAAAAAATAGCCAGGAGTTGTTGTGGGCACCTATAGTCCCAGCTACTTGGGAGGCTGAGGTCAGAGAATCACTTGAGCCCAAGAATTTGAGGTTGCTGTGAGCTGTGATGCCACAAGACGGTACCGAGGACATGTGAGACTGTGTCTAAAAAAAAAAAACGGCAGGCCAGACAAATCCGAGTGAAGCAGAACACTTACTATTTCGGAAAAGCCAAGTGAAAAATAACACAACACCTGAGCATTGACCATATTGTGTGTTAAGTGGTAAAATGGTTTTAATTACAGGTAAATTAAAGGTGAGGAATAATTTATAACTTGGAGATGTTTGTGAGCCCAGCATGATGGAGATCACATAGTATTTTCCTGTGAGTACAGTGTGGTTTTGCTTGCTGATGTGACTCTTAGACAACAGTAGTTACTTAATCTTTATTCATAATTTAATGGAATTGCAGAATTCTAAAAAGTGTTACTCAACTTATGTTATAAAAGGGACAACAGAAAAAAGATGATTTCGTATCTTGTGTAGCAACCTGCATGGATTTGGAGAATATTCTAAGTGCAGCATCACAAAAACGGAAAAACAAGCATCACGGTACTCAGTCCTAAACTGGAACCAGATTTAACAACTATACGCTCGTGTGCCAGGAAAAACTCAATTAAATTCAAGTGGGGGGAGGAGGGAAGGGTTGGGTAAATTGTGAAGGACACACTTGGACTTCAGCCTTATACAAGCACACTATGTAACCTAATCATATGTACTCCAATACTAACCTGAAATTAATAAAAAAGCAGCAACAGCTTTGCTTTGATGGTGGCCAGCCACCGGTAGCAGCATGCGACATAGGTGACCACTGTCTTCCTCTCAGTGTGCTTTCTTCACCATGGGCATCTGCGCCCTCACAGCTGTCCCGCTCCACCTCCGCGGCCCCTGTCCCAGATCAGAGGAGCAGCCCTCACGCTTCTCCGACTCTTACTAGATTTCACTCAGTCCTTCCATCCTGAATTTCCCTCTCATGAGTTTAGAGGCCCACTGATACTCTCATAGTCACCCTGTGCCTGGTGTGTCCAAAACTGAGCTCCAGACAGGCCTTCCCACCCGCCCTCACCCTAAAGGATCCTGTCCTGGTAGAGGCCTTCACAATCAGCATCAGGACCATTGTCCTAGTCCCCAGGACACAAAGCCTGTGAGTAGCCCTGACTCCCTGGGGCCCTGGCTGTACCTGCAGATCTCTTGGCACTCTTGTTCTACCCTCCACCTCCCCTGCTGTGCCCTCCGTCATCATTCTTCACCAGGATGACCCCAACAGCCTCCTGGGAGTCCCTTCTCAGAAGGGGGCCCAGAGTGCTGCTTTCAAAATGTGGATTATGCCATGTGATTCTACTCAAATGCTTCCTTGTTCTCTCAAGGCAAAAGCCTGAATGCTAGCGAGCAGGGCTGCGAAGCCCTCCTCAGGACCCTCTTTCTTTCCAGGGGAACTACATCTGTCATGGGCCATGCTGGCCTTGCTGTCTGCTTCTGTGCTCAGCCATGCCAGCTGTCTACTGCTCACCAGGCAGGGCCCCGGGGCTGCAGGACCTCTGCACTCAGGCGCTCGGCCTGAAACAGCTCCCAGGGGACATCAGCAGAGACTAACACAGCCACGTCTCCTCCCTGTGCAGGGCCCTCGCACTTTCCACCCTCCTTCTTTCCTGTAGCAGTTATCACTTCCTAACAGACTACACGGGTGACTATATCTGCTATATCTATTTTTTTTTGCTTAACCCAACTTTGCTCAGGCCCCGTACCCCCTAGGCCCACCGTGTACTTCCTGTGAAGTCCAGATTTGGCAACCCCTGCCAAGTCAGTTCAGCCCCACCTTGATGATATCCAATCACCCTAGAGATCCCATGAGGCTCCTCATGCTCCCCAGACCCAGGTGGTGTCTGGTCACCCTGGCCTGTGTTCAACAAGATTCCTGTGAGGTGGGTTTAGCCAGAGCCCCTCACCCCTGACATGTGCTCTTAGTAACTTTCCATCTGCTGACCCCCACACTGTGCTCCACAGCCATAAATTCCCAGTGCCGTATTTGTGTTAAGCCCAGGCTCTTTCCCTAATGGTAGGACCTGTGCAGTGGCCCCTGTTTTTGCACCTACGGAGGTGGTCCTGAATGAAGTCTCTGCCTTACTGTGCTTTAATAAGTATCACCGAATGTTTTCTTCAACAGTCTCTCCACTAGAATGTAAGTTCCCTGAGGTCAGGAGCTTTGCTTTTTTGTTCACTGATGTATTCCAAACTCCTAGACCAGTGACTGACATACATGAGTACTGTAAATAGGCAATGAGTGAGAAGTCGGAATACAAAGCAGGACAGGCCCGGCGCTTACCCTGGCTGCGTTATAAATACGGAATATCCTACTGATGATGTCCTCTTCCAAATCTGCAGACACAAACTCCACTTGGATGGGGCCATGTCTGTGTACTCCATTCTCTGGCCAGTACTGTGGACACAACTGAATTCAAACATAGACATACAAGGTTAATTATAAGAGTAGTGAATTTACTCCTACCAGCTGGGATAAGGTTGGCATCGGCATTCAGTAATTCCTGACTTCACTAATTCCCTTTGTTTTCTCTCTTTCTTTTCCCTGTAGCAAATAAACTTGTACTTTCTTGTTGTCTGTTCCTCAACTCCACCTGTCCTCCTCCTATAAGGTAATTTTCTCAGAAAGCATCTTTTAGCCACAGATTCCTGCTTTCCAAGGAAGTCACGCAGATGATGGTCAATGCATCCCTTTGTGAGACCTCTTTTGCAGGCCCTGAGGGCAATGCTATGCGTGTCCACCAACCCGCAAGGTCCGTAAAGTGGCAGCACACAGATCTGTCAATGCCCAGGTCCACCCGCAGCTGGCCGGGCTCGCATGGTACTTTATAATCGCTGTTGGGAATAAGGCTATTTTGTGACAAGGTGCAGAACTGGGAACAGTGTAGGGCTGTTTTCATGGTCTGGTCCAAACTCTCCCAGCTCTGTACTAGAAAACCTGGTGCAATGACAATTAATGTTTTACTCTTTAACCTAGAGATGGCTTTCATGAAAACATGATTTCCTGGAGTCTAAAACTCCAGGTACTGGTGGCACTGAGTAGCTAGAACTTCTGCATGAACACAAAGCAGGACTGAGGTGGTGGGAGTGGTGCTGGGCATGGTGGCTTATGACAGAGGTGCTTCCATTGCCACCACGCCACAAAATTCCTACAAGTGGAGAGACTCAGGCGGGAAGAACTCCTAAGATCTTGTCTCTTTCAAAACCTTTCTTAAAGCCCTGAAGCCTTAACAAGCATTTAAAGTTTGCAGTTAAACTTCCTTTGGGACTGGTGTTCCAGTGACTTTTCTGCAGTGGCACCTACTTTTATCTTTCTGATTTACCTGAGGGCTTGTGGGGAGGCAGGAGGAGGAAGCTGCTTCCTTATGTCACAGCCTATTTCTATTGGACCAAGAGCAGATGAAAAACACATCACCCTATTTAAAGTAGAATCATCTTCAATCTTCTCTCTTGTCTCTGCTCCAAACCATCAGCTAATTTGCTAAAGTAGAATCACAAGGAGAATCCACTGGTTGAGGTGGTTGTTGTTGTTGTTTTGATGACTTTTATTTTCCAAAGGATCAGGGTCCTCACACTTTTTAAACAGGGGGCCAGTTCACTGTCCCTCAGGCCATTGGAGGGCCGGACTGTGGGCCCTGGGACGAGTCAGCTGCTAAGCAGGACAGGCAGTGGCAGCAAAAACACCTGGCGGGCCAGATAAATGTCCTAGGCTGGCCACATGTGGCCCATGAGCCAGAGTTTGAGGACACCTGTAAAATCTTACTGTCAAAGATTGCAAAGAGTAATGTATATCCAAGATTGCAAGATCATTTTCAGTTAACTGTGGACCAAATGAAGCAGCAATCTCTCTCTCTGTTACAAACAAGTTAAGGGTTAGGGCGTTATGATTAAGAATAAAAGTATGATAACTAAGGCTATGTTAGCTCAGCCAACATTTATATAATGTATGTTATAAATTACACTTATTTAGTTTTAAGTACTACTTCCATGAAATTTTTCCTTCTTCACCAGTGTTTCCTGGTGACAAGTCATAAAGCTGCCTTGTCAAATAATAGCATGTCGATGTTTATTTATTTATTTTTTGATACCCAGGGGTACCTACTATTAAAATTAATAAGACATCGTGATGGGAAGCCGAGGTGGTAATGAAAGCCATAGCATGCACATCTGAACCATTCTGCCCACTTTTCTACGACTCAGCTAGCATCGCTTTCTTCTCTCTTTTCCCATCGAAGCTCCTGATTAAAAGCTTGTCATTTACACCAAAGAAATATGAGTGGTGCGGCTGGCACTGCCTCTGGCACATTCATTCTACTCTCTGCCCAAGCAAACCGTGTAGAAAATGGCTTAAATGGTGCATAGCACGCCCGTGAATCGGACCTATAAATACTTAAAATAGTTGAGTGCTATTCTCGTACAATTGCAAAGCCTTTATGTTCAAATGCTCAGTTTAGTGTTCACTAAAAGACTGAATCCCAGGAGCCTCTTTTCTCTCACTCTGAAAATCAGCTCTGTCTGCTGAATCGAAGCTGAGTCCTTTTGTTTCTCCTACCACCAGTCAGCCAAGGCTTGGTTTGAGTCCAGATAGTTCAGGTTTAAAACACAGCTTTAGAATCCAAATGTGGATGTTCAAAAGAACTCACTAGAATCAGTGATGTCTTTAATTCACTAATATGAACAAAAATGGTCTATCACAACATTTTAAGATTCACATTAGGAAAAATACAGAATGATTCCTTATCCCAGAACTGTCTGGGACTAAAGAATCTAAAGAATTAGTGTGCTAAAGAATTAATGCAATTTCACCCTGGCACTGTAAGTTAGAAAATCAGGATCCTTGGTTCTATTTTGAGCTGTGTCTTTGAAACTCCCCAAGTCATAGCATCTGCTTGTCTTTATAAATGGCTACAATCTAACCTTCTGAGAACATCAGTGGAAAAGGATTCTAAAATATTTAAGCTTCTTAAGCCAAAAGGACTGGATGAGAGCAAAGACTGCCATTATTATTTCATTAACTAGCTTTCAGGTGAGAGCTTTGGAAATATAATACAATGCCTTGAATATAATTAAAAACTTATAGAACTGAATTAAGTGTCTTTGGCATTTATGGCAGATTGATGGCAACAAAACAGATTTGAGGAAGGAAAATCTTGTCCAGTTTGGATGCTGACATGCTTCAGACCTTTCAACAAGTTTATTCTTAACACAAAGTTCAGACTCTCTGTAATGCCCGCTGTCCTGGTGGGTAACTCTGTGACTGGTACAGCCACACCCCAAAGGGCCCCTGTGCTAATGCTCACCTGACAACTCCCTTTAAGAAACCACTTCTACGTCCATTACTAACACCAAGTTCATCACTTTCCAATTCTTTCTCTTTCTGTGTTTAAGGGGAGCTATGCAAAGGCCCCATTTTTCCTTTCTCTCTCTTCTTTTTTAAAGCAGTGTCTCAGTCTGTTGCCCTGGGTAGAGTGCTGTGGTATCATAGCTCACAGAAACCTCAAACTCTTGGGTTCCTTGCCTCAGCTTCTCCAGTAGCTGGGACTATGGGTGCTCACCACAATGCCTGCTAGTTGTTTTTTTATTTTTAGTAGAGATGAGGTCTCGCTTTTGATTAGGCTGGTCTCAAACTCCTGAGCTCAAGTGATCCTCCCACCTCGGCCTCCCAGAGTGCTGGGATCACAGGTGTGAGCCACCACACCTGGTCCCAAAGCCCCATTTCTTATGCTGAGCTTCTCTTACCCCAAGTCTCAGACTACACCCACGAGTTGATGAGACTAATTGCTATCCCCCCAAGTTGCCTGCCCATCTCCTCTCACCCTTCTGGGTGGATCATCTCTACCTGTGGGCTCCAGGTGAGCTATGCCAGGGAGCACACAGTAGCCCCAGAGATGGGCCTTGGCTATATTGTGCCGACGTCCTTTCTCCTCTGTTGTCTGCTTTCAGCTCTGTGATGGTCAGCTCCCTGCTAAGCTTTGACTCTGTCTATGACCTTGAAAACCTCCAGCGGGTATTGCCATATTTTGGGAACATCCCAACTTCTGATACTGTCTAATCCTGTCATTCACTTCCACTGTCAATGATTTCACCCTGTATTTTTGGTTTTCAACCAACTTTGTGTTCTAACCCCTACTCACCCGATTTCTAACACTTATGTTTTCAAATGGCACTTGAGGTCTGGTACGGAGGCCTGCACTTCTCAGGTGCAGATTCAATGTGTAAACAAACTCGACCCAGCTCAGACTGCAAGAATTCCCTGGTCTCACCTGGGCAGGATCCACATCATTTAGCATAACTACAGATGTGCAGTGATAATCCAGGACCAGTCTCCAAAAGTCTTTGACTGTGTTTGGCAAAGGATGCTGGGTAACTATGAAAGCTGAAGGCTGTTTATAGCTCTGCAAACACAAATAAGAAAGAACCAGATTAACCCGGAAAACGTGAAGGGAGGAAGCTAAGTTATTTTGTACACATGGAAACCTGTGGCACAAAACACTGAACAAATTCAACAGTTGTTGAATTCTATCATTGTCAGCACCAAAATAGAGTAAGTATAAATTTATCTGCAGAATAACAATGATGGAATATTCTCATTTTGATGCCGAGAAAACTTAATAAGTATCTCATAACCAATTTTCTTTCATATTTCTTGTAGAAGTACAATATCAAATATATACATAATTATCTTAATGAAGAAAATGTAACTTTAAAAATTATGCATAATTAAAACAGTTCTGCTTTTTCCAAAGTGTTTGCTTGTCATTTGTATGTGTGAGGGTGTTACTCATGCCTACCATAAAGGATACACATGCTTTTTACAGCTCTGGGGAGCTTCAAACAATTTTAGTACTATTTTATGATATGACACCAACAGAATTGAAATTTCTCTATTACCAGTGAAAATACCCATTCACTTTTCTCATCAATTGAAGAGCAAGACGTAAACAAACTGACAGTTTGAGTAACGAGTTGTATTTCTCCCCATGTTAATTACAACCCAAATTAGGAGGAAAGTGAACTCTATGAATACTGCAAGCAATATTAACCCATCTTCCTGCCACGGTGACTTGAGAGCTGTCTCTCGCTCCTGCCAGCAGGTTAAAGCCTTCCCTGCTCAGAGAGGAGCCGCACCATGTCTCATTTATCAATACTCCTGCCCAGACTGGCAGTCTCTAATAGACCAAGTATGTCAGCCCTGACACGAAAACACACGTGGAATCCGAAATTGACTTCTGTTAAAAAAATAGTTTGCATCTTAACAAACACAGGATGGGCAGAGCTGGAAGGCCCTGGGCTTGCCCCCATGGAGAGCTCGCCCCCATGGAGAATTGCTTCCTTCCGTGGAAGGGCAGCGGCTTACGTCCATCAGGGCAGCGTTGATATAGTTGCTGCTCTCGCCGTCGATGGTGATGAGGAAAGGCAGGCAGCGGTCCGGGGGCAGGATGTCCATGCACCGGTTTTTCTCGTGGTTCCGGGGCAAAAGCGCGATGCTGCAGTCTTCCACACGCAGCGTCGGCGTCACCATGTTTAAGGTCTAGGCGACAAAAGGCAGGCACGTGGGGAAGAGAATGCTTGACAGTAAGTGTGGCTCAGGTCAGCATTTAAAAGATGCACATTTCCTGCAGCTCATTGTAAGATGGCCCTCCCCCAACCCCCGTAACATTCCCCCTCCTCAACACCCCACAGTTGAATTTTTTATTTCTCTTTTCTCTCCTTAGATTTTGTCCACAGACAGTGCTTATCTGACATAGGGGCCAAAGGCAGAGGCATAAGGCCACTGTAGGTCCCAGAGATTGAGAGCCATCCAGTCCCACTAGCTGGATACCCAGGGACCTGGGAGGTAAGAGGTAGGGAAGGGATCGGCCCACAGTCAGGTACCTTTACACAAAATCTGAGTATTAGGAATGCAATGAAGACTATGGTCCAGAAAGTGTTTTCCACACATACTTTTGTGGCATGACTGTGCCCCTGCTTCCACTATGGAAAGGAAGTCTGCTTTCAAAGGGACAGGGTGGTGGAAATGGCTCTGTTAGACTAGTAGTTCTCAACCAGGCAGTTCTGCTGCCCAGGGGATGTTTGGCACTGCAGACAGCGGGTGTATGGAGCCCAGTGACATCACATGGGAGGCCCCTGCCACCAGATCGTCCAGCCCAAAATATCCCAAGTAAGGAACCCTGTATTGCTTCAGGGCCCAAGAAGGCACTTTTAAGATACTTCTTAAAGGGCAAAGGCATAGTCAGTGCCTCCCTGGAACGTCACTTACCCGGAATTCCTCTTTAATCTGACTCGAATTCGTCTGCGGATCCAGTTTGTTCATGTCGTAATACAGAGACCTGACTTGGGAAGCGGGGACAGAGGTATCTCCACAGAGGCAGGCTTCCAGGATGGCATCGTGGATGAACACATATTGCTCCTGGAGAAGCAGATGTGCTCGTTAGTGACAGAGAAATCAAGGTAGCCTCAGAGAAACGTAGGAGGAGGAAAGAGTGCCTGCATTGGCCCACGTCAGCAAAATGCATCTCCCAGAGAGAGGGACAGGTGAGGACCGGAACTCGGGAGATGGGTGCTCGGTGCAGAATATCACTCAGCTTCATTAAAACCACCCAGATGCTGGTACCAGCCACAGCAAGTGCCGCCACGCTGCAACTGTGGCTAAAGTGCCTTGTAATTCTGATCCCACTGATTTGGAACTCAGTATTTCAGATGAGGAATGAGCAGAATTGTATCTGTATCTAATAGAGGATAAGATTTGCTGACCAAAATAACTGTGCAAAGAAGGTCTACAGAAACTTGACATCACTAGGAAGACAAAGAGTTCTGAATTCTTACAACTAGTTACTTCACTTGAAAACAGTAATTAATGAGATAATTATGAAAGCTCTTATAAGCACAGAGAAGAGCTCTTGTATGCACAGTAAGTGCACAGGTGAACTGTACATACGCACACTAAGTCCACAGGTGAACTGTACATACATACAGTAAGTCCACAGGTGAACTGTACGTACGTACAATAAGTCCACAGGTGAACTGTATGTATGTACAGTAAGTCCATAGGTGAACTCTATGTCCACACAGTAAGTCCACAGGTGAACTCTATGTCTGCACAGTAAGTCCACAGGTGAACTGTACGTACACACAGTAAGTCCACAGGTGAACTGTACGTACCTACATTAAGTCCATAGGTAAAAAACATGGAGCCTCTAATTCTGGCACTGACTTCCCCTACAATTAATTAGTAGAGTTTTACTATATTTATTATTGATCTTTAATTATATGAGATGTTAAGAAAATCCCTTATTACTACTAATTTAATCTCTCTATATAACTAGGACTCTTAATTCTCAAAAACAACCCAGCCCTACCAAACAACACCTCAAAAAACAAGATCGTCTGAGAAAATGCGTGTGGCAACATTTGATCAAGTGTAAAGTACATCAAAAAATAAATTATTATTATCTTTAAAACACAGTATCTCATACTAAGGAGAAGAGAACATGAAAGTAGCACTTATAGTTTCTGCTATTTTTATGATAGCTAAAAAATTGGGAGATTAGGGTTTCTAGAGGCTTTTGTAAACTTTAATGCACAATTTAAATGTAAAGAGTTCTTATTATTCTTCGTTCTACTTCAGGAATCATTTTCTAGGTAGTGGGTTAACGCCTACTTAAGCAATCAGTATTAGTAAAAATATGAACGTACTAAGAACAAGATGTAATACTTTATCTCAAAAAGTTAAATTCCTGATATACCTTGAATTTCAATTTATGGAATAACCAGTCATCATAGATTACTGGTACAAAATGGGCAAATTCCCAAGATGCCAAGGCCCTGGGCAGAATTTCCAGGGACAGGCGGCTACTGTTCTTTCCAGCACCCCCGAGGAGAACAAAACACACAGAGGCAACGCTAAAGCTGCCGGGCCAGTGCTGCTATTCTCAGGAGCGGCCTTGCTCTAGTTCCCAGTGAGTTTAAGAGACACAATAAAAGGAAATGGTACCGGAACACTCCATACAGGATGCTTCATGGTCCCGTGACAGAAAAATGTGCAAATTTAGGCTCTTGGCTATAGATTCTGTTACCTGGAAAACTCTTGACTTTTTTTGTTTGTTTGTTGAAAGGAGAGAGAGAGAGAAGGGGGACTGGAAGGAGAAAAGAAAGAAGAAATGGAAGGAAGGGATGGACAAGGGAGGAAGGAAGAAAAAAGGGAAGGAGGGAGGGAAAGAATGAGGGGAGAAGGGGGGAGGAGGGGCGCCAGCCAGGATGCCCTTGCAGAGATAACTGCCTTGTCCTTGGCTCTGGGAGGTGGGGCTGCAGGAGAGACGCAGAGAGCAGGCCCCGGGGTGGGGAGCAGCAGTACCTCCGTCTGCACCATGTTCACCCTCCGGGACCGCAGCTCCCGGACGCAGTTGTAGATGTCTACCACCCCTTCCCTTTCAGCCATGTCCAGCATGATATCGATGACGATGAAGCAGCCGGTCCTCCCGGCACCAGCACTGAATGAAAAGAAGGGTCTGTCAGCAGAGGGAAAAGGCCCACTGTGCTGCCGCTGCTACTTATAAAAGGTTTTATGGAGGTGAGATTCACATAACATAAAACTAATCTCCTTAAAAGGTGCAATTCAATGGCATTTAGTCTGTTCATGGTGTTGTGTAACCAGCACCATGTCAAGTTCTAAAACATGTTCACCAGCCCCAGAGGAGACCCCGCACCCAACACCCACGGCGTTTCCTCCGAGAGGGGCAGCTCTGCTTACCTGCAGTGCACCACCAACGGGCCTGCATTGGGCGGGCTCTTGGATTTGACCTGCCGGACAAATCCCAGCAGGCCAGTGGCATGGTAGGGGACCCCATGATCCGGCCAGCCAGTGAAGTGAAACTGTCTGATCTCTCGGATTTCATGAACACCTCTCTGCATTGGTTGGTCAGCCACAGCACAGGAGAGAACAAGGGAAAACAAATTATAAGCTACAGCAGCCTGGGGAGCGGAAAGCACCCCCGAGTGGTTGTTAGGGGGAAAGGGCATCCTTAGACCCCACACACAATTTGGAAGGAAAAACTGAGGAGGATGTTTGTGGGTTGAGAGGGGAGGTGCTGTTTGGGGAAAATGCTAATTGACATGGGCAATTCCAGCAAATGGATGGATCTGCTGGATTCTTTGAAATTCCTTTCTAAAAAGTAGACTCTGTTAAAAGTTTGTGTTGCATAGATCATGAGGTGTGCTGATAAGGTGAAAGCCCACAGAGAAAGGCACAGAACAGGGACCTGAAGGCATTAAGGGTTCAGCTACTGTGACCCAGGACCCTTATTCTGGCTCCTCACACCCTGGTGTCTCTGCACCAGCCACTGTGCCTGCTCAGGTAACACCTGCTGCATGAACAAATGAGGACGACTTTCCAATTGGATATGGCAGAGGACTCATTTTCATTCACAGCCCATTTGTTAGTTTGACTTTTTAATGTGGATAGACATTAAACCCATTCATCCCCTCAAGATCAACCTGAGTGACTATAATGCCCTAGGCCTTGACTAGGGCTACAGAAACGTGTGGCTGGCACAGACTGCTGTGGGCACAGTCTACCGTGGGGAACAGGCACATAAGCCAGTAGAAACCATCAGAATCCAGAAGCATTTCTGCTGGAATTCCAGGTTATGTCAGTAAATTGGGGAGGGAGGCTACCCACCCCCCAACTGGAAGAAAGGCATTACAAAAGAGATCTTATGATTGTTTTTGTTAATTTACTCTTGTTTTGCAAATAGTTAAGTTAATTTATACCCATCAATTTTGTTTTCTAACTATTATCCCATGTATTAAGACTGTGTTTTAAAACACAAGAGTGTTTTGAAAATAAAAATTACTTCCAGAATGAAGGCTGTACGTAAACCTGAGATCAGATGTGATTCTTATTCCATGACTGTTGTCTGAATACCACCTCTGCATTACATTATGGGTTTGGATGTTAAAAGTAAAACATTCATTAACCTTATCGCATTCACCATCATTGTGTACATATATTTAGTGAGCAAAGAAGAAATCGGAATGTTTATGTGACTTGAAAGACCAGAAGAGGCAAACAATTACAGGTTTAAAGATAAGACTCATTTGCCATCAATGTGATAATATGCCTTGGTTTAATAGCCCACAAAGGCTGAGCTTTACTTCTCTTTGAAGATGCTATTCTTTAGCAGAGTTGAAGCATTAAGGAATTAAGCAGTCAGGGATTTACAAATGCAAATCAACACTGTCATCTGCTAAATAGGGTCTTCTGTGATCGCAGGATAATATTATTAGGTGGTTAGGAGCCCACACTTCTTATCACTGAAACCATGGTAACATTTGGCTAGTCCTGAAGTCTCAGTTAGAAAGACAGAAAGTGGAGCCTGTGTCCCCCTCCAGACCTCTAGAGTGCTCTCATGGGTGTGATGACCTGGGCAGGGGTGGGCTCATTCTGGTGGGATGCATCTCTTGAACTGGGAAAACCAACCAGCAATAAATATTAATGTATTCCAAAGGGGCATTTCTTTCTGTCATGTACTAGTGGGTTTTTTGGGGGGGAGGGGTGAAGACTTCTTTTTCTAGCTTTGCTACATTTCAACTCCAGCATCCCAGAACACTGGACTATTGCTTCCAACTGATCTCTCCAAGAACCATTTTCTGAGCAAGGGTAAGCGACAGTTTTAGACTGCAAAAAACCTTTTCCCAAGAGACCTCCACCTCAAATGTGTTCACTATGGACGAGATTAGGAAAGGAAATTACTTCTGGTCCAATTTTCATTCTTGTTTGCTGACACACCGCCTCTCCTTCTGCGGCTGTAATCTGACACACGTTTGGGGAGGAACACCAGACATGCCATCAGCGATCACAGCCCAATACTTCCCAGCTTGATATTCATTACATCTTTATTTATAATAAGCTTAAATACCATATAAAAAGTGGTATCTATCATAGTGGGAAGGAAGATCCCAAGTCATACAACAAACCTATAAAAAATATTCTACAGAAATACTAATGATTTATTTTCTTTAAAGATTCCAAAGTGAGTGCTTAAGAAATATTTGTGAAACGAATGTCACTAAGGACATGTTCTGTCTTTGGGACAGGAAGATCACCTTCCTCCTCCCTCTCTGAGTCCTAGGCACCTCCTAGGTCGAGCAGTTTTGGTGGCCACTGTCAACTTCGTTTCTGCCCAGGATACTCAGGGCTAGATTGACCAGGTGGCATCGACCCACGAGACTTCTGAGCTTTCTCCCGACACAATGGGCACTATACATTATTTAAAACCTGTTTAGCTTTGAGTGATCAGATATCAGGAAAAGGAAAGACAACAACAATTCAATGCAAAATAGGAATTCATCATTTTCAAACTGCATTCCAGCTGCTTGCTTTGCAGAGTGGAGCCCAAATCCATTTTCCACCTTTGGGTCCCTCGATACAACATGTTCTTAAAATAGAATCGGAATTGCAGGAATCTCAAACTACGTGCCTAATCAATTTCTTTTCTTTCCTTTCTAATGAGAAAGTTTAAAGCCAACAAGAAATATTCTATGAAAGGACTAATGATTTGTTTTCCTTAAAGATTCCAGTTGCCCAGTTAGAGAACCACTAACATGTCATTCTGATTTCCCCAAGTCCATTAACAAGCACCCCTCCCTTCTCCTCCCTCTCCCACCTCTCCACTGGTTGTCTGATGACTAAAATAACTGGGTATATTAGAAACAATTCTGTGCAGCTGGGAATGCATGAGGTAGAAGAAGAGGTTAAAAAAAGAGCACAGAAACAAACAAACCCTTCCTCTAGCAACAGAGATGCATTTTCAGCTTATTAGAGAGCTGACTATTGTTCAAAGAACTCCATGTTTAAGTGATGGCTTTTGGATGATTTTTTTTTCCAACAGAAAAAAAATATTGCAGGTCTTTTATCACTGTTTTAATGCAGCTATTCATGAGTGCTCTTGCCAAGAGCTGTACAAAAATCTTCCATGTGGTGTTTTTTTTTTTTTCAATCCTGCCTAAGAAGGAAAAAGTCGACATCAAAGTGCAAGGTTCAGAACTTGAAGAATTGAGTCAACTCAAACTCCACATTCTTTGAAGTCTCCGAGCTTCCTGCCCGCTTATTAAAAAAGACAGGCTAAGAAAAAAATGCTAAATAGTATGAGAAACATAATAAAATAAACTAGAGCTTTTTCAGACTTATGATTCTATGACAAATTTGATTCTGCAAACAAGGAAAGGTAGTTTAAAACATCAGGGTAAATTGACCAACGAGCAGATGCTGCAGTTTCTTTGACTTCCTAAAACTGGTCTTGGTAATCTGAAAAATGCACATAGATGCAGAAAGGACAGAGAGAGGAAGGCCAGGAGCCAAGTTCCCAGTAGTTTGCTAATAACCCACGTCTTCTATGGGGAGATGCTACTACTTGTTAGTGTGTTTTTTTTTTTTTAGAAAGAGGGTCTCACCCTGTTGCCCACTCTGGAGTGCAGTGGCGTCACCACAGAGCACTCCAGTCTTGGCTCAAGTGATCCTCCTGTCTGAGCCTCCCAAGTAGCTGGGACTATAGGCATGTACCACCATGCCTGGCTAATTTTTTTATTGTTTATAGATACTAGGTCTTGCTGTGCTTCCTAGAATGGTCTCAAACCGCTGATGTCAAGCAATCCTCTCGTCTTGGCTTCCCAAAGTGCTGGGATTACAGGTATGAATCTGCCTTGAGACCTGCTGCTATTAAATGAGTGTAAGCAGAACAAAGTCATGGCAAAATTGCTAAGTCCAGTGCAGCTGTGCAAGGCCCAGTTATAGAGAATCAGCTCGTGACAGGAAAGTCAGCCATATCACCTCCACTTTCCCCACAGCCTACCTGTGACACTTCTCTGGATGGACTGCAGTTTGCTTCACCTCCGGCCCCTCCCTATGTCAGCAGAAAGAGGGGGAATAAGGAAATTCCCTGTTATGCCCTACAGTGCTTTCCAAAGCAGCAGCCCCATCCATGCACATGGAATGAGGCAGAGTAGAACCAAAGCACAGCATTCACGGACCCAACACCAGCAACTACAAAAGGCTGACACCAGCATGGGAGTGAGGATGAATGAACACCCTGCTTCATGCAAGAACGTGCCATGTCTAATGGACACTGTCCAGGTGGTTTGCTTCTCCCTGGAAAATCCATCAGTCCATAATGAACTGGAGGCCTGGAAAGCCCCAAGGAAGTGCGGGATTCCAGGAGGAGTTAGGACCTGTGTCTCAACACTGATACTAACTCACTACGAGGAAACCCACATGGACTTAGACCAGGAATAAATTCCCTAACTGGAAGGACGCTAGTCAACATTGAACAAAGAGAGGGGGAAAGAACAATATCAATCAGGTTAACAAGAAGAAGAAAATAAACAAATAGATATTTTGGTTTAGTTGCAAAATACAGATTCTTATGAAATGGGAATGACTTGTTTCAAAGATGGAGCTGAGCTATTACAGAATCAGAGGACAAGATGCAATCTTGAGAAACCACCAGAGAGAGCCTCCTTGCATTCAGGTATGACCATGTACACATTTTCCTAGATCAGTTAATGATGCTGGTATAGGACTACACTGATGTCTCACCATAGCTTTTAAAGTTAGTATGAAAACTTACCTTTTCAACAGCAAATGTTCTTATCACATATTCTGCCAGTAGTTCAGTTTCTATTAGGGTAACTTTAATGTCTTTATATATCTCTGTGTCATCTGGCCAGTATTTGCAGCATTTGACCTTTAGAAAACAGAAAGGGAAATTGTGGGTTTAGAGTTAGGTTTTTTTTTTTTTTTAGTTCCTCTAGTAATGGGTTGCACTATGATTTATAGGATATAATTTGCATGCAAAAATAAAAACAAAGGTAATGGTATACACAAGAGCAAGGTCTTTTTTTCCCTCCTTTTCTTCTTCTTTTTTTTAGATCACCTAGGTTTCTCAGAACAAAACAAAATTTGAGTTATGGCAAAGATGAAGTCTAGGAAAATGATCTAAAGTTAACAAGATGCATTTATGCTACAAATATCTGAGGCACAGTAACCATTCATTTCCTGTGTATCTCTACGCAGGGAATGGCCTAGAAAAATAAACTATGAAAGGAATTTTGCAGTATTTTAGTTTCCCTGAATTTTAGTCCTTTCTGAACTTCCTTCTAGTTTCTAAAATTGAAAATTTTGGAGGAATGAGCAGAAAATCAGAATAAACATTAAAGATCAGTTATTTTTTCGGCATGAAGGAAGTAGCTTTGTGATTTTCCCCAGTTAGAACCACAGATTCACAGATTCATTTTAATGTAAGTAAATTCATTAAACAAAATTTCTTTTTTTTTTTTTTTTTGAGACAGAGCCTCAAGCTCTGGGTAGAGTGCTATAGCATCGCAGCTCACAGCAACCTCCAACTCCTGGGCTCAAGCAAGTCTCCTGCCTCAGGAGACTGGGACCACAGGCACCCCCCACAACGCCTAGCTATTTTTTGGTTGCAGCCTTCATTGTTGTTTGGCGGGGGCCCGGGTTGGATTTGAACACGCCACCTTAGGTGTATGTGGTTGGCGCCTTAGCTACTTGAGCCACATATGAACCACATATGAGCCACATATGAACACTATCTTTCCATATTGTCTGAAGCCTCTAACCTAAGGATTTTTTTGGATAGAGGAAATTTGTTACACTTGGCTCCTACTTGCAATTTTTTTTTTTTTAATTGAGTGGCTCATCCAGACATCCGTGAAAGTTTGGGATGAGAAGTGAGCAGGATCACAGGCAGGGCAAGGACATGGGGACATTTCCAGCCTCTGCTCTTAAGACTTTTCTGCCTCTCTGGAATTCCTGGTAGCTTTATCCACTTCTGTCCCTGCCCCTCCATTGACCAGTTTCTATTCTATAACTCTAGCCATACTTCTCCTTGTGTTGAATCTATTTTTTTCTTGTTTTTCTTTTGTCGTTGTTTAGGGTCTCATTCTGTCACCCAGGCTGGAGTATAGCAGCCTGATCAAAGCTCACTATAGCCTTGTACTCTTGGGCTCAAGAGATCCACCTGTCTCAGCTCCTGAGCAGCTGGGACTATAGGTCTGTTACACCATATCCTGTTATTTTTTAAATTGTTTTGTAGAGATGCTGTATTGTCCAGGCTGGTCTCCAACTCCTATCCTCAAGCCATCCTCCTGCCTCAACTGCTTGAAATGCTGGGCCTATAGGCGTGGGCCACCACATACAACCTGAATTTGCTTACTACCTTCTTTTCATGGGGCATTACCTTGGAGGCACTGCCAGCACCTCAAAGGCACTATGTCCAAAAGACAACTCTCTGTTCCACATTCACTCTTCCTGATATCCTATGTTAATGCTATGGTTTCCTACAGAGATCTTCTCAATCACCCAGGCTCAGAAAGTAGTGATTTCTTCTCTAAAACACAACCAACTGCCAAATCTAGGAATGTCTTTGAAATAGCTCTCAACTATGTTTTCTAAGTTTTCCATCCCTCTGCCACATCCTAGTTCAGGCCCTCATTTCTTTCTGAATGGGTAGTCTATATACCCCAATACTGGAAAAACCCTTCCACAGGGTAATCCCAGTGCCACTGGCTTGTTTTGCTCAAGCATCTTCTATTTCCAACTACTGTCTGTGAAATAAAATAGAAATTCTTTGGCCTGGCATGTAAGGACTTTTTTATTTTATATGGCAACAGCAAGCATTTCCAGCCTTATTTTTTACAGCTCTCCTTTCTACCCACATAGATTTTATGTCCAGGACAGGTGTTAGCCCTAATCCCCAAACATACCCTATGATCCAAACTCCTACTCATGCCATTCTTCCTGTTTAGAATGTTCTCCTCCTACTCATTTTTTCCTAGTTGAATTTTTTCCCCATTCTTCAAAGTATACTCTGAAATGCAGCAGCCCTCCTCAGTCTCCTGTGTAGATGTGAACTCTCTCTCTGTTGCCCTGATGAAGTGTGCTTGTTCAGAGCCTGATGTGACACCCTTCTTACTGCTTGATATTTCCTTATATCTGCACCCCCCAAAACACCTGGTGATTGTGTCTTGTACACGCTGAATGTGCAATAAATACTATAAAACTGAATTTCAAGGAGAAAGTCACAGGATCAGTGGAGAAGGAAAATCCCAGACTAGTAGAGAAGTTTACAAAAAGAAATATGAGCAGAGAAGATGTGCTCATGCCAGCCTCCTGCAGTGCATTAATGTTTCCAGCGTGGTGTGTGGCTGGGCATTACTGCAGCTGCTACTTTAGGAGACTTTCTGGTAGTCCATTCAGGGCAATTCTAGGCGAGCCTCATTACCTTTACTTGGCAGGATGTAAACCAGACTAATACGAGGAGTTGGAGATTCAGTTGAGCATGGGACAATGGTTCCCACCCTTATGAAGTTCGTAGACTCCTTTGGGAATCTTTCTTTTTTTTTTTGTCATGGGAACATTATCTGTGGCTTTATAAAGGTCTTATCTATAATAGTTCAGAAATTTACATCATGGACACCTGTGTGGCATCTCAAATATCCCAGAGTAATAGACCTATAATTTCTCCTTTCCATGATGTGAAGTCAGTCTGAGCAGATCCTGTGGAGACGTCTAACTGGACCCATTTATGGACTGTCCGCACTATACTTCCACAATGCTGATCATGAAGCTGCATACAGGGAAATACTGTATTCACCTCTATATTGGGGTGACTTGCTTTTATGTTTTAGTGACTTCAATTATGCACACAGATGGTAGTGGATAGATATGAAACTACAATATACAGCATATATGTGCCTTTTAAGAATAATTCTCAACAGAATGAATGCACAGTTTAAGATTTCATATATTTCTCTGAAAATTATAACTGAACAAAACACAAACACACACCTGCAGCCTTATGTTACAACACGTTTGTCTTAGGCGGTAAAAATACCTTACCCAAATGTATCTTAATGAAAGTGAATTTACTAACTACAGGATGCCAATGGTCACAGGCCTTGTGTGGTCACTGTTCTGAGTCTCCTTTACTCTCACCACCCTTGAATTTGCACCATGAGTGTGGAGTGCTTTAATGCCTTGAAATCAGGGAAAACAGAGGCCCTCTGCAGGTAGTTAAAGGCTCAGTTTCTTTTGGGGGTTATTGAGAGAGGCACTCCCAGCTCCGTGGGGCGAGTCCCATAAGGTCCTATCCTAAACCCGCGGGCCTGATGCCTCGGGCGCCCCCGCGTGGCTGGCTGAGTTCAGCGCACTCTGGCCCAACAAGTGCTGCCCCCAGCGAGGGAGCAGTCACAAGAGCCCAGGGTCATGGTCTGCTCTCCGTGGCAGGGCACAGTGCTAAATCCGCTCCCCTTGGATGCCTCTCCCTCCCACTATGCTGGGATTAGGAGGAAGGAAATGGGGCTGCCTCCTTCCAGAATGCGTGCAGGGCACCTGGCTGGGTGGCCCTGCAGAGGCGGAGGAGCCATTTCCAATCCAAACCTTCCCATCTCATCTCCCAGAATATCCTGAAATGGTTTGCCACATCTGTTTTCAGCCTACTAAAAACCATTCTGAATTGGGTTTCTTTTAGTATCTTTTTAACTGCTTGGACTTGTGTCAAGTTATTATTTTGCATAAAAAAGTGGGGGGGAAGAAAGTATGCTTTTCTCTCTTTGGATGAAGGCTTTCCAAGTCCGGAGAGTCTGGGAATCAGTGCCTTCTGTCCCTCAGGTCTGCGCTCAGAGATGCCAAAACCGTTGGTTTTGAGGCGCCTGTTGGAGAACAGGAAGCATCTTGGCTCTTGCCATGAGCGTGGCCCTGCCGTTCCTGCAGCCCTGCCACCTGCACGTGCCTCCCACGCACGTATCCTAATCACGAAAAGCAACAGCCTCCAGCCCAGAAAGCGATCAGGATCGGCTAATTACCCCAGAGCCCCAGTGCTGGTTCTACCAGGCCATCAATCAAGCAAACAGTGCAAGCTGCTGCCTGCTGGTGGCCGCCCGAGGGCAGTGGGAATAGATGATGTGGTCTCTGCTCCAAAGGGGTGATCTTTGTTGGCTTTAAAATTCAAAAACATGAAACAGCACAGAAAGCGATATAAGGCCAGGATTCTAACTTCCCTTTGTGGGGGGAGGGGGGACAAACATCTTTGGGGCAAGTCACTTTTAACCAGTGGCCCAGATGGTCCCCACACACTGAAGTCAGAGGATAGGTGGGGGGCTAGAGCCCCAGCTCCTCATGGTGGCAGCACATCAATGTGACCTTCAGAGCATCCTGACATTGCTATAGCAATGGTTCTCAAACTGAAGCAGGCATTAGATTCCTTGGAAGGATTCTGCACAAATTCAGCAGGTCAGAATTTGTGGGCTCAAAAGTGTACATTTGTAACAAACTCCCAGGTGCTGCTGGTCTGTGAACCACTCTGAGTAACAAGGATTTGAGTCTGCCTGGGCCAGGGTGCTGTTATGAGTGTGGAGAGGTCACCTTCAGGCATTTCATCTGTAAAGAGGGGACAGTTATGGTTCCCATGGCAGAGTGTGCTAAGAGCTAGTCAGCTGTTTCCAAATTTGCCTGAATGTTGGAGTCTCTTAGTTCCTGGGAGGGAGATCTTAATAAATTCCAAAGCCCAGGCCACACTCCAGGTCAATGCAATCATGATTTCTGGGGTGGGGCAGAGGCATCAGTAGTTTCTTGAAGCTCCCCAGGCAATTGCAAAGTGCAGAAGAGTTTAGAACCCCTGCATTAATTGATGGGATGTGATGACAACATTTGGCTATGTGCCCAGTG